CTCTCTCTCTCTCTCTCTCTCTCTCTCTCTCTCTCTCTCTCTCATGCTCTCATCGACCGCCGTAGCTAGCAAGAGCAGCAGCAACGCCACCTCCATCAACATCTTCAACAGCAACAATGCCACCAACAATAATGACTCCACCGATTCTATTACAATTGCCACCTTACCTCAACAACAAGGATAAGAACAGCAACACCACTATGACTACCACTACCATGACCACAACCATGACTACATGTTACGTTTGGTTAGGTGCTGTCACTGTTTTAGCTTACCTTTTTAAAAAGAACTATACCTCTTTTTTCTGTCTGTCTGTCTTTCTTTCTCGCAGCACTTAACGACCATCTTTGGGTTAATGTGGTTCTCTTCATCCTAAAGTCAGCCTTTCATCTTAATTCCTTGTCTCTCTCATGGGTGGTTGGCAGGTTCTCTGGTATGGTTTGCTCCTTCCCTATCAAACATCTATCATCCTTATAAGTCATATTTCCCCCTTGTTTTTTTGTGTTTGTTACTCTCTTCTTGTAGCACCTCTAATCTTCGGCACTTATATGACTAATTGTGTTGCAAGTGCTGTAAAGCTCTTACTCAAACAAAGTTATCTGAACAACAGGAGCGTCAGCTGAAAGTAGAGGAGTACCGGGAACTGACCGCCTCCCTGCTCACATGGCTCAGAGACGCCATCAAGCTCATGCTGAGCAGGAACTTTCCCAGCACACTTCTCGAGGTCAAGGTCAGTCTGTTATGCCCCTGGTGGACACAACTTTCACATATATAACCTTTCGTTGACAAGCTGTTCAACTGTTTTTGTAAAATCCCAGAAAGCAAGATTTTCAGGAGAGAGGAAAAGCAATTTCATTCTTTTAACATTTATACATACATTATGTGTCTTTTCTTGATTTTCTCAACATTAAGAATTTGCATTTTGACAAATTATGTCTCAAGCACGGGCAACAAATAGCCTCCCAGAGATGAAGAAACTACAAATAAAAACTTTTCAAAATTTTAGGCTTAAGTATATCTAAATAGCTGGCTGACATTTTGTTATTTTTATTTTTATTTGTTTTGTTAAAGTTCCCATCTTATGTTATTAAGTTTGAGGTTTTTTTTAGTTGATATGTAATGCTGCATGGTGGGTTTTTTACCATGCAGAAGATATGAGTTTGATTCCTGTGTGGAAAAGATTGTTGTAGGCCCTTATAGAGTAGGCCTACACGACATGTCCATTTCCTGGGATGCTATGTCCCTCAACAGTGAGCCCGGTTGGCCCTGACAGGCAAGGTCAAGGTCGCCCAACTTGTAAATGATCTAAATTGTGTAAATATGGTCATTATGAGATAAATAAAGCATGTAGTTTAAGGTTATTCTAAATGTGGCAATTATCACTTGAAATTAAGAAATATGAATAGAAAGCTTTTTTTAAAGCCAATTTCTCACTATTAGATGAATATTGATTGTTTGTTGATTTATGAACTAGTCTTTGTGTGACATTTTTGTGATGTATTCTTATTCTGTGATTTTTGTCCCAGGGTCTTTACTCTGACTTCAATCGATTCCGGTCCGAAGACGTCCCCCCACGGTTAGAGGCCAGGAATCATGCCATGAGGCTTTTTGATGAAATACAGGTAAGGTTCGCATCAGATGTGTAGCTATAATATGATGTCTTTGTTTAGTTGCATTTTGGTGGGTAGAGTTGCTGTGAAGGATGTTAAGTCATGGCCTGAGACTGTCTATGATTTGTTCATTTACTCGTTTACCATACAATGGTTGGTGGACGCTCTGCTCCTTGCTCATTTTTAAAAGTGCTTCTGTTAACTAAATGCATGAAGGAGTATGTGTTTAACACTTCCTTCAATACTATGTAAGAAGAGAAACCTCTGATTTAAGCATGTTTGATAGGATCAGACTACGTGAATGGAGGTCCTTGAATTCTTTGAAAATAACCTCTGTGAAAAAAATTTGTACCTTCAAGGATCTGAGCCAGTGACACCTATGCTGTAGCTGCAATGATACCAACTGAGTGAAAATGGCACTTTTTTTACTGAATGTGGCTATTGTTATGCCAAGTAGGTGTAAACTAAATTTAAACAATGCAATTGTTGTTTTTTCCTAGTAGAATATAGCCCTTCTCATGCCAGCCAATGATTATTGACTCTCCAGAGCTTGACGAGTGACCCCTCTCACATGAGCATCGAAGATGAACTTCTACCTCACAACGTGACCCGCATGTGGAGCCGCTTCGAGGTGGCCATGCAAGAAAGAGACATGACCCTGCAGTCAGAGGTCATCAGGTTAGTGCCCCTCGGTATTGCACAGTTTGATGAACTGACGTCAGTGGTATAATGTGGAGGTCCTTCACTTTGCATGCAGAAGATGTGACTTTGATTCCTGTTTGGCAGATTTCTTTTAGTCCCGGGTCTCTTTCCTTCTGCCGAGATGTTGGTTGTATCCCACCAAGCCTAGGTTGGCCCTAATGTTGAAGCTGGTCACCTCCTAAATAGTTTAGCGTACTGATGGGGGCCATAGACCCTTATGATAATTTTACAATTTGGAAAATGATTACGTACGTGTGGGAAGAAAAAAAACTGTTTCTGACTTGTAACCCTTATCTTTGAATGACACACATTTTACTGATTACGACAGTAGTTTGATCTGTTAAGGGAGTAAGTGAAGAATTGTTAGAAATTCAAGAATAAGGTGCATGATATGACTTTATTTTCTTTGCGTGTTAGATATTAATGGTTTACTGTGTGTTTGTTGGTTAAGGAGGGTCATATTACTAGCTGAGAAAGTCGATATAAGAGATAGAGAGAGAGAGAGAGAGAGGGATCGAAGGAAGTGGATGAGTGAGAGATCACCTGTAATCAAAAGTTGTCAAGAAGTGCTTTTTATTAAAATTTGTTTTGGGATTTAAAAAAGAACATTTGCATTCTGATCCTTTCTTCCCTTCTTCTTTGTTAAGAAGCAGAATAAAATGAGTTCTGACCAATTTTTTGCATTTTGATTAAAATTAGCAAATAAAAATTCAGCATCAAGTGGCTGGACTGCCGACCTTTGAGTCTTCTCCATCTGTATGTGTTTCTGTACCCTCAGACTGGAGAGACTGCACAGACTTGCCGAGAAGGCCCAGCGCGACGTCCGCTTCAACGAGGAGGCCGTAGTGGATCTGGGTCGTCGCATTGACGACACAGCACGAGGCCTGGACGTCATGCACACATTTGAGGCCAAACGCAATGCGGACGCCCTCGACAGAGGCCTCAAGAGCGTGGAGGAAGCCATTCGTGGTCTCTTCCGTGACTGCCAAGCCCTGCAAGACGGGAACCATCCCTATGCAGAGCAACTTTACAGAAGGTTGGTTGCTGAGAAATTATGTTTGATGCATAATGCTCGTAGAGAATTTTTTTCTTGGTAGTCGAATGATTGATATAAATATTCATGTTGAAAGTTACAAACGAGCTGTTAAATGGCAAGTAAGATGTCTGATTAGCTGCTGAAAATGCTTGCTGAAGCTTTAAAAAGTATGCAATTCTTTTAATTTCAAAATTATGACTTTGTGCTGAGTTCGTAAGTGCTAAATTGGGAATAAGATGCTGAGAATAGTCACAATGGACTGATAGCTGGGAAGAAACTGTTTGCCAGAGAAGAGTTTGGTCTACAGTAGATGACAAACAGACTACATATTCTCTCATCTTGAATGCAGCAAGTGCTGCTCAGCAATATGATGTTGCTGTATGTGAGCAGTGAAAATATCGAGGGTTTTCTTGATCACCCCAGAAACTGTGTGTTCGTAATCTTATCTCACCATGTCATTATTCCAAGAAACATTTTACTAAAATCCATTTTATTGCTGTCTGTGTGCACCTAGGGTGTGTGACTTGCAGTCCCGAGTCTCTCAGCTCAAGAACCATCTGTACAGCCAAGTGGTCCACCCACTACTGAGCCGATCCCACAGCAGCGAGGAGACATACAGCCCGGCCCGCGTCCGAGGTGTCATGTCGGAGAGTAGGCTGTCAGAGAGTAACCCCGCCTTCCGACATGTGCAAGAGTGTCTAGAGTGGGTGGACACCAAACAGGTGAGGCTCTGGAGGGAGGTGGAGAGCTATCTTTGGTCATTTAGATTTAAATTATGCCTTCTGCTGTATTCAGAATGGGACATTTTGAAGGCGGAAAAATTGGACCCCCAGTGGTACACTTAGGAGAAAGGAGATGGTCCTTGAAGATCAGTCCAAATACGACTCTGGATTTGGAACTTGAACTTACCTGTGTTAGTCTAGTTCAGAGCAAACTGTGCCTCAAAGCATTGAATAATACAGACCTTTCAAGATATTTTCCCAAGTAACTGGCAGGAAGTTTTACAGGCTCTGTGGGGATTGAAAATGAAACAGTTAAGTTACCAAAAGGGAAATTGGGGCATAGATAAAATTTGCTTCTTGGAAAATGTCCTGATTTTGGTAGAACGTACTGTTCACCATATATATGTGTTTTGATTTAGAGCATCTCCTGGCCCACCAAGGATAAAGATTCAATTCCCAAATTGGAAAAGTACCTTATTGATTTTCACAATCTTTCTATAGGAGTGGATCTCTTGCGTCCTGGATTGTCCCATAATAGGCATTATCAAAGTAGTCATCTTTCTAAATAACTTGAATTTTGCACTTGTGAAAGTAGTCTTTTCTCTCTGTCTTTTTAAAATCATTTCCAAAGTGTTAAAATTGTATTTGTTGATTAGCTGGTCCCTTCTCTATGTGTAAAAATACCAATCTGTATGATTTGTCTCCTCCCTTGATCAGCGGGAGCTGGAGGAGGCAGAGTACGACAGCGACCTCTCCCGTGTACAAGACCTGTTGGCCCACCACCGACGGGAGCATGAACAGGTGCAAGCATTCCGAGCCCGCATAGACAAGTGTATATCTGATAGGGTGAGTCATTTTTACTGCCCTCCTTCTGAGTACTTTGAGAACTTTAAGATTTTTAACACATGTCAAAGCTGTCTTAGCAATGCAGTCTTATGGTTTTTTTTAAGGGATTAGTTGTTTTTTACAGTCATTTTGAAAGTTTTCGTTGTTGTTGTTTAGAGTAGGGATATGTGCTGTATACTTGTAATATTATAATTATTTATTATAATATTGTTATTAGTGGTATTGTTGTAATTTGATTATTTTTATTATCATTCTTTATTTTAAAAAGTTATTATTGGCCGTGAAAATTTTTTTAAAAAAGAGCTACTGGTATCCTGTATCTACTATCTTGTAACAGTATATTGAAGTGTCTACAATGTTTTCTATGCTTTTCCTCTTTCAGGCTAGCCTTTCGTCAGAAGAACAAAAAGTATACACAGAAAAACTTTCCAAAGTAGAGGTGGCCTATTCCCTTCTTTCGGTAAGTGATGTTTTTCCTACCCAGGTGCAGTTCTCTCCACGCATCTTGCTTAGTCGTTTGCCGATTGATTTGACGCTGTCTCTATTCTAGTCTTGTTGTCGTGACTCTCCCACCGGTTTGATTTTTGGTATTGCAAGGCCGTACCTCAATATACTCACGCTGACATGCACTTTCATTTACACTTGCTTTAGCACACTACACACACACACACTCACACACACTTACACACACACACACACACGCTCTCAGTCACGCTGACATGCACTTTCATTTACACATGCTTTAGCACACACACACACACTCAGTCGCCGTGAACAATAATGATAGTGAGACTGAGCTGGTAACTGGAATAGACATGCTTTTTCAAAGAGAGCCATTAGAGCATTAACGGTTGAAGACTATCACCTGTCACTTAAACTTTATTTTTGTTTTGTTATGCAGAAAACTTCCAGTCGACGTCTGCGTTGCCTGGAATCTTTCAGCGAGTTTCTGCAGATGTCTACCGCAGAACTGCTGTGGCTCAGTGAGCGAGAGGAAACAGAACTTTCCCGTGATTGGAGTGCCAAAGACATCAACTTAGCTGAACTGGATGAGCATCACAAGGTAGGCAACTGGATGACAGCAGTTTTTCATTTTTTTCCTGTAGGTTCTCTGCAACGTCTGAATCAATGGTAAGGCTCTTTGCCATGCTTGCAAAAGACACTAATTTGATTCTGCAATAAGGAGAATCTTTCACTGTTTTTTCCATCTTTCTCAGGTGTTTACTGCGTACAGGGTGTACAGCTTTGGTTTGCCCTGACAGACAGGATTGAAGAGACCTGCCTCTTTATTTATTTTAATTCTATGGATACGGATATTATACGTTTTTGGCAGTAAAAGTTTTTCTGCTGGGGAATTTAAGTGTTTGATTTGGGTGTTATAATCTCTTCTGTTGTGCTTAGCCTCCTTGCCTTTTTCTACATGATAAAAGATTTTGTTGGGGGTACTATCCAATCCTCCTTTGGTCACCGGCGAGCATCATGTTTCCCTGAGAACTTCTGTCCTAAAGTTGTAACTGATTGTTTCAAATTTGGGCGCAAAGTGCATATTCTAACAACAATGGGATTATTCTCACACATGAGGCTGACAAGCACATATGAATGCTCGAAGGTGATGACATAATGTTAGAACTTTTGATTTTGTCCTCGAGGGACAAAACTGGGTTAAGATCTCTGTTTAACATTTGTTGTTTACGTGTGTTATGTCTGTTGGTGAATAAGGAAAATGTCTCAGATTTGATGCTGACCTGTGATTTTGTTTTGTTCCAGTCCCTTGTTCGACAAATGGAGGCCCGAGAGAGCCAGTTCAACTCTGTGCAAGAGAAAGGTGGAGCCTTGATTCTGGACAGGCATCCATGTGCCCGCACTGTTGAGGTGAGTGCTTTAAAGTCCCTGTTATGATAATAATACATTTGAAATTGTGTAATATGGCCACCCATTTTCGAGGAGAAAAGTTGGCGTCTTAGACAGGTGACCATCTTTCAGTCTTTAGAATGTAAAAAAAATCACAAAGGAGGAAATAGGAAGGTGCTGTTTGTAAAGGGGATTGTCTTATACAGGTGACCTTTAGAGCAGGTTCAACTGTTTTCATCCGTCAATGTCTAATGATGACCAGCTATAGCACTACCTGCACTTGTAGATATTATTCATGCTATGGCTCAAAAGTCAGGAGAAGAATTTTTGTTAAGTTGATAGTCTGGAGCTGCTGACCCATGACATTGGCAGCCTTATGGTCTGTGCAACAGGCACCTGTCTTGCATTCTTGTGACTTATTTAATTACGTAGCAAGTCTTGCTCATTGTAGAACATATTTTTGCAGGAAGGCACGTTTTGACATTCTTATTATTCACATTGTATTTTGTGGTCCTATATATATATTTTGAGATATTGCTTGTGTGTCTTCCAAAAATATTGATGACAAGAAGCATAGTTTTAAATGCATTGTGATTTTTCATACAATTGTTCCCATTTGGATAAATAATTCTAATTCCTGCCTCGTTTGTCTCCCACCCGGTGCGTCCAGGCATACATGTCCACCTTGCAGTCCCAGTGGTCCTGGCTCATCCACCTGGCCTGGTGCCTCGAGTCCCACGTAAAGAACGGTGTGGAGCATAACCGCTTCTTTGAGGAGGCACAACACTGCCAGCAGTGGATGTCCCGCCACTCGGAGCTGCTGCACAACCGATTTTCCGCTGATAACATTCCCTTGGATCAAGCACAACCCCTGCTCTCTGACTTGCAGGTCTGAGCTCTCAACACTTTTTCTCTATTTCATTTCGTTGAACTTTATTGAAAGAAAATTGACTGTTTAGTTTAAGACCCTGCCATACGCCATTTTGAAAAGAGACATATGACAGAGTCTTACATTGAGCTGTCGAAATGGTGAGAATTTTAAAAGTTAAAAACTTGTCCTCAAATATAACAGAAAAAAACTTTTAATCAATGTAATGCAATGAGTGATAGTGCGTAGTTGGCAGGTGCTCTGTTGTGATTTTCTCCGTCTCTCCTGTTAAAGATCTATCGCCCTTAGCTCTCCTCCTCCTTTTTTTTTTGTACATAATAATACCTCTTATCTTCAGCACCTATATAAACTATTTGTATTGCAAGTGCTGTAAAACTCTTACTATAGTTAAAGCTACTCTTTCTATGTGTTATTTTGTAATTCATTAATTGTTGAAACCAAACGCTCAGAATGTTAAAAGTAAAATTTGTGCTCAAATTTTTACGGTAGAACTTTTATTCAGTGTAATGCTATGAGTGATAGCCATTGCGATGTGTAGGGAGTAATATGTGAATTGTTGGTGGGTTCTCTGTTTTTAATTCTTTTAGGATATTATTGCAATGCAAACGTTTTACTGAAACGAAGCGTATATCTTGCTATCTCACTTTAAAGCTCAACTGATGGTGCTGGGACGATCAATAATATTTTAAAGTATGTACATTACGATAGTGTTCTGATATATAGGTGAATTACCATACATGTATCTACCCCACTATAGGATGAATTTCCAAAAAGCACAAAGCAAAATACCCTGGGGATTTTTCTGTTCTTTTCCTTAAAAAATAAAAGAAGTGTGGCAAAGTGCTCATTGTATCTTCCCACAATTAGAAATGAAAACAAGTGTGACAAGGTAGACCAACATGCTATCAGCATGAACGATTTTAAAAATTAATTTTCTAAGTTCAGATGATTTAATTATGTTCCTGGTAGAAATAGAATAGTTATGAAAATGATGAATGTATAGGTGTGAAGGGATGCTTTTGTAAAGATATTTGAGAATAGTTTCCTGAGCTTTTTTTTCTCCGGTTCCTGTTTTTGAATCCAGGAGTTGCAGGAACAGATCCGTGAGTACGACCGCCGCGTGTCCTCACTCGTGATGAAAAGCCATGATATACTCCCTCTGAGGCTGCGCTCTCAGCGAATCACTGCGCCAATCCGAGTTCGAACCTTGTGCCCATGTCATCAGGACGACGTGTCACTGCAGAGAGGAGAAGAGTGTTTCCTGGTGAACAACAGTCAAAGGACCATGTGGAAGGTAAGACAGTTGAAGAGATATCCAATTTTGCCTTTTCATTTTGCTGATCGTGGTCGTAGTTTGCAATTTTGATTTGTGTGTTCTTTTCTTTCTCCTCCTTTTTTTTTTTTGTGTTTGTTACTCTCTTGTAACACCTCTAACCTTTGGCACTCATATGACCTATTTGTGTTGCAAGTGCTGTGAAACTCTTACTTAACTAAGACAGAAAACTTGGTTTTCATACAGGACTATTTCTTGTTTTGGAATCTAGTTTAAAATTATCCGATTTAGCCACCTCACGGCATGTGTCCATTCCCCAACCTATTTTTTTTTTTACTTTTTTTTTTCGTTCAGGTGAAGACCATGACAGGACTGGAGGCTTCAGTGCCCTCTGTGTGTTTCCTGATTCCTCCCCCAAATCAGGAAGCTATCGACACGGCCAACAGGTGAGAGAGGAGGGGAACTACACGATCTTGCACACACACAGCATACACCCTCATAGTGAAATACGCACATAACAAACAGATTTTCATGTCCTGAATTATTTCTTACACATTTATATACTTTGTATTTAAAACAAATACATTGAGAAAGTCGTATGTAACAAAAAGATTTCTGTGTCCCGCTGATTTCTTCATGTGCAGTCTGGATTGTACTTGTATATTGTCCACTTCTCATCCCCTCAAGGAGATGTCTATAGAAAAATGTCTGGGCATGTTAATTCTTTTAGTGTTACCTTCAATAGCATAATCGCGCAAACAAGTTCTTAGTGTTCAAAAAGAACAGAAATGAAGAAGTTAAAAAAAAACTACAGTGGTATATCCAAAGTCATAAAAATTTATACAATTCATGCAATGCATCTTAACAAAAATTTGAAAACCAGTAACATACACCACCATATGTTTGCTCCATTGTTGGGTGTCGCAGTGCAATATTTTGCTCGTTGAGCAGGAGGGAATGTGTCTTGCTCAAGGTCACACACTTTGGTATCTTCCCATCTAATTGCTATATTGAATGCAGTATAAGTGTTCTTTGTCCGGTACGAAAGTAGTATTGTCCTTTGCAGCTAGTAAAATGTTTGATGATAAAATAGCTGGATTATTTTGCCTTAAAGTGCTGATGGTGAGAGAGAAACAAGGGATGGGCACTGTCCTCTCTTCATGTGATTCTGACACATGTTTGGTCTTGGCACTGCATCTATTTTGCCTAATATAGAAAGGAAAAATGACTGATAGCTTTTCATGAAAAATTTACAGAATGTCGTGACCTTTTAAAACTTTGTGCAGGTCAGTATTTTATGTGGTTCTTACAAATGTGCTGCTATGAGCAATATGTTGATGTGGTGGGTAAAACTCTAACAATAAACATCTGCAATACTGGCCTTGTCATATCCTATGGGTGGTTGGCGGGTGCTCTGGTGTGATTTGCTCTTTCTTCTACCTTCTTTTTTATGTTAATTACCCTCCTGTAACACCTCTAATCTTCGGTACTTATGTGACCTTATTGAGTTGCTATGGCATAAAACTCTTACTAAAACTAAACTATTCTATCATATGTCTCACTTCTGTTTCTAACCAGGCTGAAGCTACAACATGAGCAGCTGTCCAGTCAGTGGAGAACACAACAGAGGCGTGTACGGATGGCTGCTGTTTTCGCAGCCATCAAACTCGTCAAAAGTTGGGACCTCAAGAGGGTCAGTTTTTTTCATTATTATTATTATTATTATTATTATCATTTTGTCTATTCTCCTACATTTTGTCGTCGTCCTCCTATTTTGCTCATCATCATCATCATTATTATGATTATTATTATTATTATTATTATTATGATTTTTATCTATAAAATCATTATTGTCATCGCCGTCATCTTCCATCATCATTATTGTTACTGTTATTGTTATTATTGTTCCTCCTATTATTATGTCATTATAATCGTATATAATTATTATCATTTTCTAATGAGACAATGGACATAATCTTTTACAATGCGAAACTGACAATTTTTTTGAAAATTACAAAATTATATTTTGTACCCTTGTTTCCCCTCCGCACTAAATCTTGCACAGTCAATAAAATGCTGACCTAGATTTTCCGTACTCTTCCCAACTAGTTCATGGCCATGGAGACCGGCCAGAGAGAGGCAGTCTGGCGAGCCTTGAAGGAAGATGGTGAGAAACTCCTGGCAGAGACCGGACCTGCCGATCGTGACATGCGCAAGCTGGCAGACGAGCTGCGCCAATGTGAACAGATTTACGAAGACCTGTGTAACAGGGCAGCAGCCAAAGGTGGGTTGCGTGTTGACTGGGCTGTCTGTTTGAGAAAAATATAAGATATCAGTTTTCCAAGAATTTCCAGCATTCCAAAATGTACCTACAGAAACATGTCAAATTGAGTCACAGCATGTCGCTTTTTGACAATGTAAGACAAGTATCAGTAGTAGTAGTATAAGGTTTTACGGCGCTCGCAACTGCTAAGGTCATATGAGCGCGCGACAAGTATCAAACTGAAAAAGAATTTGTCTAGCTTTTTTCTTTCTAAAGTTTAGACACTTGAAGTTGGGGAGTTAAAAACACACAGTTTTGAGAAAATCAAGGTTTTGCCAAATATCTCGAAACAGCTGAGTGACAAGTGGTTCATTTTGTTATGTTTCTATACAAATGTTCCACCGTCCAGTTTCTTGCGTGACAGATAATGTGCCTCAGCACTTTTCACCATTTTTATTTCTCCGAGTGTCTTTTTTTCTAATTTTAAAAAAGTGGTTGGAGGGCACTTACTTGTTATTTGTACTACTACTTTACCAGCCCTCTTTTGTTTCTGTCTGCCTGTCTTGCTCTGTACCAGTAGAAGACAATTATTGTCACGTTTGTCTTCTTCTCTTTAAATAAAAAGGAGTTTCAAAACTCCATGGTCTATGAAAAAGTCAAGGGTGTCTCCAAACAAACCCAAAATGCGAGCCAGTACAATCTGGCATGGTACTTTGGGCTGGTGTGTCTTTGATGTTTTGGTTGTGAAGTATTTGTGGGAACTGTGATGGTTCTAAAATGGTCCAAACTAGAACTTGGCAAATGACATTCAAAATTTTTAAGTAAGCAACGTGGTTGGTTGGCAGGCAGATGCTCCGGTGTAGTTTGCTCCTTTTTTCTTGTCAATCTTCCGCCCTTATCTCTCCTTTTTTTTTGTGGGTATGTTGTACCTCTAGTAACACCTGTAATCTTCAGCATTTATATGACCTATTTGTGTTGCAAGTGCCATCAAACTGTTACTAAAACTTGCAACAACATCCACATGTTTATGTCTCCAGAGGGCAAGCGCAACGTGAGCTCAGCACAGATTGTGCTGCAACGGATCGATGGCATGAGCCGAGAACTGAACAACACTGACCAGCAGTTGTCTACCTTACTTCATCGGCCACTGCCACAGAACAACCTTGCTGTCACTGAATCATTCCGATCATACAGGGTAAGTTAGAGATAACTAAAGGAAGTTGTACTCCTCTCTGATGGGAATTTTTTACTCCTCATTACAGCTCATAAAAGCAAATGTATGTATTCATTCACAATTATTTGCCTTTTTCCACCTACTATAAGTTTTGTGTATTTTTTATGTCAAAACTATTTTCACATGACTTTACCGGTTTGTGTGAAGTTCAAAATTTCAAAGTAAAAAAGACTTGCCCTTTATGGGTAAGGGTTTGAAGATTTTTTTGTTTTAGATGCAAAGGTTCATGTCTGTGATCGGGTGTTACTTTTGACATTTTAATGTGCAATTGAGTTATTACTGCGCCAAGTATTGTCTTGTGTGGTGTAAATCAGATAAAAATTGTTGTGTACCTCTTCTATACTTTAAAAAAAATGGGAGGATGATTGTCAAATACATGCACTGTAGGGTCATTTGGCAAGACCCTCAGTTTTGGTACAGATGTTTCAAGTTTGAACCCATTGCTATATTAAATTTGAAGGGAGACTCTTCCTTTTGGGAGAGACTTACTTTTGAGGTGCAGCACTAACAATCATTTACACAACTCAGACCGGAACTCATGAACATTTGTCTTTTTCCTCAGGAATTCCAACTGAAGTTTGAGAAGCAGGAGCAGGAGATCCGTGTGCTCCAGACAGACACGAGAGAATTGAACCCACGCAACTCCACAGTGGAGTCAAAACTGAATCTGGTGGTGCAGAAGGCAGAACAGATGAAAGTCATCTCTCACGTTTATGTGGACAGGTTCGTTGCCTCGATCATATCTTTTTATATGGACTGCAACTTTTTAAACCAGTGTTTGTGGGTGGTTGGCGGGTGCTCTGGTGTGGTTTGCTTTTTCCTTCCTATCAAACATCTATCGTCCTTGTCTCCCCTTCTTCTTTTTTATATTTGTTACTCTCTTGTAGCACCTCTAATCTTCTGGCGCTCATATGACCTTATGCAGTTTCGAGTGCCGTAAAACCTCTACTATAACTAAAAAACCAGTGGTTACTTTTTACTCAGTCGTAGCTTTTGTATTCGGTTGCAACTCGTTTGCTTAATGCAAACATTTTAGTTCGGCATAGTTTTTTAAAACAGTTGCAATCTTATTACTTTGTTGCATCTTTGTAGACTGATCTCAGCTTTTTAACCCGCTGGCAGCTGTCTTACTTTCTGAATCACGAAAATGTCAATGTTATTGAAATATTTCCTCTGGAATTTAAATGGGATAAAAACTTAGCGGGGGGGGGGGTGTTTTTTCTGATTCAGGAAACAGTCTCGTAATCTTTTTGACGAGGGGGGGTAAGCCTTGAATCTTTTTTTTTAATTTCCATTTCTCTCAGTTCATAATACATTTATTTGAATCTGAAGCTCTATGTTCCAAGGACTTTGACTAGGTTCAGAGGAAAGCTATTTGAACTTTAACCTCTCTCTCTCTCTCTCTCTCTCTCTCTCTCTCTCTCTCTCTCTCCCTCTCCTTCTCTCTCTCTCCCTCTCTCTCTCTGTACTTCTTCTTTCTCTTTCCCTCATTCTCTCTCTATCTCTCTTTTTTGTCTTTCTCTCTCTCTCTTTTTATCTTTCGCCATCCCTCATTCTCTCTCTCTTTATCTCTCTTTCTCTTTCTCTCTCTCTCTCTTTCTTTCTCTCCCTCTTTTCGTCCTTTCTCTATATCCGAATCTGTCTCTTGATATGTCTACCAGTCTCCGTTGGCCTCTTTCATATTTACGTATCTCACCACATTCTCTTAAAATCTCTCAACAAATTCCCAAGACCTAAGAATCCAACACCATTTACACAAAGCAATAAAACACTTGCGAATTT